TATTGGTTATATTTTTCTACCAAAAATTTTTCTCGTAGCTGATTTTTCTCATAACTGCTATGTTGACGTTGGATCGAAGATGAAGACAATATAAACGACCTCGAACTCGGTTAATTTGTGTTAACTTTTGTGAAGCGGAAAAATTAATCATGCATCTGATGATTAAGGAAAAATATGAGACCTTAAATATAATATGGATCATTTATTTATTATCAATTAAATTTAAATTAAATATTTACGTGATATTAAAGCTTTTTCGCATGACAAAACTTGAAAATTGAAACTAACCATTTAGTAGTATCAGGGAGCAGTTGAAGTTAAACTACTCAGTTCTTATCATATAACAATTCATTTTTCCTTGATTTCATTCCAATTGCTGAAATTTTGTTTTGCTTTTTTTTTTTCTCTCTCTTTTAACTAGAAATAGGATTTCATTAATATATAAAAATTATAAAAGTTACAAATCAACTTGAATTGAGCAATATATTGAAGTATTATACTAACAAAATGCATAAAAAGATAAAATTAAATAATTTAATATATACATAAATATCATAGTTATATCTAAATTTGAGATTTAACAGTTTAATCACATATCAGTATAATTTATTTAAATAAAAAATAAATTAGTTACAAGTAAAAAAATTTAGTTAGGTACCTTGTCTTTGATCATATTTGTTAATAGTTAGAATAAGTACACAAATTTATCTAAATCTAACGAATAGTTATAATTATCTTTTGATAAAAATGAATCCCAATGCAAAATATCATGAAAGTCAATACAAAAATTTATTTAAAAAGAGAAAAAAAACCTCCATAAAAAAAAAATCGTCACAAAAGAAAAGAAAATTTCCACATTTAGTCATCTTCCTTAGTTGTCCTGGGTGAGAGAGGCAATGATGGCTAAGAAAAACACAAAAAAGAACAAAAGAAAGAGAAGAAAATGAGGGCTAGAAAAAGGAAGGCGCGACTAGGGATATCGACTAATCTATATTTACCAAAGCCAACCGCTGAAGTTGGCAATTGGCATTGTCCCATCTGAATTATTTTTTTGTTTTAACAAAGATAATGATTAATGAATTAATTTTATTAATTATTAGTAATTAAAAATTCAATTTTTAGATCTAGTGAATATCTCATTTTTTCTTAATGAGGCGCGAGTCCATCGCGGAGTTCACCATCTTAATTAATTTGTTTTATTGATTGACTGAGTACCGTTGGTTCAATGAATTGAATTGGGCGCTTTGATTTCTATATTTTGGTTTTAATGCCATGGGTACCATGACTCTTCGGATGCTACTACCTTTTCTTCTTCTCAGCTTTTTTGTTTCCTTATTAAGGTATTTTTTAATTAATTTTTGTATACATTAATTTCTTTTTTGATTTGAGAAAACCGGTGGCGCTGGGAAATGGAAGAATGTCATTTTCTATACATGCTCTCTCCTTGATTAGATTAAAATATAAAAAAATTAAAGTAAAATAAGAAAAAACCCTTTCCTTCCCCTCTTCTTTCCTCTAATTTTTTTTTTAATCAATTAGAAAAATTTCTCCCCCTCCGTTTCTCTCTTCTCAAATTAAATAAGTTGTAATTAAGATTAATCATTTTTCAAATAATTTTAAAGGTGCACATACCCATATATTGACTTCATGTAATAAAAAAATTAGTTTAATTAATTACTAATTTCAAAACTTAAATCCTATACTTAAATTACTTAAAAAGAAAGAGTTGTTTAACTTATGTTTTTAGGGAACACAAATTATTAGTATATTTTAGGTGTAAACAATTAAATATATTTTTGTTATAAATTTATATTAAAAAAATAATATTTAATTTATAAACTATTTAATTAAATTTATT